TTTGCACTTATTCAGTTGTATAATTTAATAGGCTATTTAATATGATAATTGAATATTCTTTGAAGGAATTTCATGACGTGCAAGGAATGCATAAAAGTTTATACTACTAACATCTTTATCGTTCACTTACATAAGTTGAGACTTTGACTTTATTTTAATTGAAACTTGATCTAAAATTTACTTAGGATTGTCTTGAAGAAAATTTTATTTAAATTTGGTCGGAACGTTTGTCTAGTATGCCATAATTTCTCAACTCCTATAATGGCTAAAAGACTCAAAAAAGTTGTAGTAATTTAGCGTGAACTCGTTTTCTAATATTATAGATTTTTATATCGCAAATATGCTATATTTAAACCTTATAAATTCTTAAGATCTATTATAAATAAAAAAAAAAGATCTTCACACGAATGTGTTACTAATCTTCTCTTCTCTTGTATCTAAAACAGTAAATATTTTATCTTGGGCTCAATTTAAAGCTTTGTTTACATTGGCCCCATTTAGAATATGCATTGTTTTATAAAGTAAACTGCATTGTGCAACCTCACATCATCGATTTAGAATTGACTTTACGATTTCGTCATCGCATAATTATAGAAACTGTGGAGGTGACTTTATATAGCTAAACAACGGAAGAATCAAATATGCTTACACGTTATTGATTGAAGTAATAAATGTTATTCATGAGAAGCAAATGCCGACACATGTATAATTATTTATTGCTTTTTAGTTATTAGATCGTTTGATATTGGATCTTTCAATCTTTAATGTTGCATTTAACTAGAAAATTAAATGAAGTTTAAAAGCACATGTTTACATGTGTTAAACAATATTTTCTGTTATTAGCACACAAAACAAGTCGGTAAAGTAAGTTAAATTAAATAAGTTTATGGAGTGAATTAAATTAAGTTGGGATTATGTAAGTTCCTGTCTTATGTTAGTTACATATATTAAGGAACAAACAAATTTTACCACATGAAATTGACTTTAACTATTACATACATAAAATTATACATATAATAAATAAAAACATTTGATTATACACACAAAAGCCACAAAATCCAATCATATTACAATGGAGCATTGAAGAACACTTGTTCTAACGACGATCATAAATTATCGACTTATTGTGCAATCATTGCTGATTATTTAATATAATTGACTGATTATATATTCAACATAAAATCAATATATGAAAACAAATCGAAGGGATCACATTGAGGAAAAAGATAATTTTGGTTAGAGTTTACTAAAACACTATTAAATTTTCTAATTTTTAATATTTTTCAATATTTTTTCAAAAAGTACATTTAAAAAGGAATTTTTTAAATCTTTTTTTTCAATATATAACTCGGAAATTGATATAGACAAAAATCTAAAAAAATTCATAGAAGATACTTTCAATAGGTACAAAAATATGAAAAAAATGAAACAAAAAATGACTAGAGGAAAAAGATGTTGATTTGGAATGGAATGTCCCATTCGTAAAAAAGACAAATAAGTTGATTAATTGATCAATAGAAGATGCCGATGTTTACTGTTGGTTCTTTTGCGTGATGTTGATTCTTTCGCGTGTTTACTTGTGAGTAAGCTGTTCATTATCATCAAGGTTACTTATTTTGACAGTTCGAAGAGAGTTGATTACAATGTGAATGATTTCATTTGTTTAATAAAACGTACGCGCAAGTTTAAGTGGAAGTACTATTGAAGAACGAAAATTACAATACTTTTATCGAGTTTATAATACATGTTGAATATCTGTTATTACAAAGATTGTGTATTTTAACAGCTTATTCGTTATTCGAGATTTATGTTAGAGATTTATACTGTTAGCAGTGAGCGATTTTATGTAATTTTATTCATTAGGTATATAAAATTATATTAAATGTCTTTTAAGCACGAGAAAAATTGTAACATGCTTGTTTTAAGTGAACTAATTATTTTTAATTATAATTCCGTAGATTAAATAGCATGTTTTTGTATTCATCAGTATATAATTCATTAGTACATATTTTTATGCATCAATAAAAACATTTTTTTAAATTTTAGTAAGATTTTTAAATTAAAGTTTTTAAAATAATATACATATATAGCGCAGGAAATAAATGACACGCGTAACTTTATATGACATTATATAATTTATAAGACACACATACGCACATAATTTATACACATACACAATGTTTAAAAATAGAATATTGTTCTATCTGGAATATTTTTTTAGAATATCATGAATAAATAAAATAAAAAAGAGTTTGATTGTTTTTAATTTAATTTTGTTACATATACACATAAGTATTATTATACATATAAATATTTTTGTTTTAATTGAATGCTGATTGTTTATTCTCGAAAAAAATTTAATTACAACAATACAAAAATGTTACAAATTTGTAAAGATTAAGTTAAAAAAATATCCTCATATTTAATAAACATAACATAAATATTTTTATATAAGAAATTATATGGAAAGAAATGGAAATAAACTAATATTCTCTATTCATTTACTTCTTGACAATTTATGTTATTATTTATATTAATTTTGATATAATTATATATTAATTGAAAAAGAGAAAGAGAGGAGAGAGAGAGAGAGAGAGAGAGAGAGAGAGAGAGAGAGAGAGAGAGAGAGAATTATGCAATCTTACATAATTTGTTATTCTAATTGTTATTTATATTTTATTTTATAAAATACATTTAATATAATTGATAATATAAATTATTTTTATTTCCGATTTTCATAAGAGTAAATTTTATAAATTATACCTTGAGAGAGAGAATTTCTAATTAAAATTATAGGGTTCATATAGAATATTTCGAGTGAATAAAAAAACTATCAATAATAATTTAATCCCGATTTTTAATACGTAAAAGCTTTGAATATTATTTATATAAAGAGATTACTTTCAAGAGTTTTTGCGTTAAATATTTAACGGAAATTAATCTCATTTAATTTCCATTTAAAATTATTTGATATTACCAATGTGAAGCGGGGTTATCCACATATATAATTTGTGATTAAAGATTAATTAATAATATAATATAATATCATGACCGTGTGCGCTAAAAATGCATATATGAATGCTTAATAAGAGTCATTTCATTTGAATAAAACTATTGTAGCGGGAAAAAAAGAGAGAACCGCAGTCGCGAAAGCAAAATTGACGAATTAAAGTATGCATCACGGCAAGGTATGTGCAAGTCAATCCGGATTATCCGTAGCTTCGATAGTGGCGCACAGTTGTTTTACTTATGACATACACATACTACTACTTATGTGACGTGACGTGGTGTCGAGATATCACCGAGCCACACCGCGATCGTCAACTCAGCAGATCACGTCGTGATACTAAAGTCGAACGAGTCGGGTCATAAACACTAAAGCCGTTTACGACGACATCGATCTTCCTGCGGAAGAGGAGGAATGCTTCGTTCGCCTTATTTTTTTTTTTTTACTACTAGCGTACTACGGCATGAACGTGTGCTACAGTTCAACGGAATTGTTTTTCGACGTGCGCTCTCTTACGCTGTAGAATTTAAATTTGAAAAAATCTGCGCCCTCTCGCCTATATTGACACGCACACACAGACTCATTTATCTCTCTACTCTTCTCCGACATAATTTTTTAAATACCTCGTTAAGAGAAAAATTTGCATGTGTAAAGGCAGTGTTTACTGTTAAAATTACATAGATGATTATCTAGATAAAATTTTGATATCTTCTTGTCTTTATATGGATAATAAAAATATGTATTATCTATATCTGCATCTTAGATTAAAAAGGTATTATCTTTAGTAAATTATCTAGAATGTTCAGATAATTTGGTTTATAGTCATATCACATAAAAATATTTAAGTAGTAAAACAAGTAGTAAGTGATAAAAACTTATGAATAAAAGTATGAATGAATTTTTTATATTCCTTTTATAATTTACATTTTTTTATAACTGTGTTATATAAGCGGTCTTAAAATAATATTATTTAGGAATTATCAAGATGAATTGCCATATAATTTTATTTTTATCTAGATATAAGATAAATTTACATATTTTTATCTCATCTTTATTCAGCTAATTTTTAAATTATCTAAGCACGACATTATATAAAGAATAATAACATTAGTTTAGCCAAAAATTATTTTAAATCAGACAAAGCGTTTTTTATAAATGTTTGGGTGCTAAAAGCGATGCCGTAAATCAAATTTCACTAGTATGTCAGATTTCCAAAATAATTGAGATTTATGTGTTATGACTCCTTTTGCAATATTTGTGATTTTTTGGAGTAAAAAATTAACCTTATATGAATACATATCATGATTGTATTATGCATCCCCTATAAAATGCATTTTTTTGAATTTCAATATCTTATTTCTTAGCCATATTATAAAAGATTAAATCTGATTTTATCATTTGTCCTTTTAAATCATACAACTTTTGTTTGGAACATTTTTTGAAAATGCATTTGTTTCGAAAAATTCAAAATGAATAATTAAAATGAGACACTATAAGAATATACACATTTAGTAGAATTTATCACGATAAGTTACACTATGTATATGTGTGTATTGATAATTCTAAACTACAAATTATGAATATGACTTCGCGGAATATTTATTGCTATCTCAGCAGAACTTTATATTTAAATATCTAACATGATTAAACATGATTAAAAAGTAAGATATCGAAATAAAAAAAAAATATTTTATAGGAGAGGAACAATACATTGACATCTGATCAGAATTTCTAGATATAACGTAACCTTTTCACAAAAAAAAAATCTCAAATATCGCAAAAAACCATTTTTTGCATATAAACTTCAATTATTTCAGAAACCTGACGTGCTGATGAAAATTGACTTGCGGTATCGTGTTCAGCGTCCAAAAAATCTGTAACAAGCATCTTGTCTGGTTTGATATAATAAAAAAAGAAAAATTTTTTGTAAACTAATAAACTCTTTCTCTCGTCTATATTTCTAGCGTATTTTAAAATCAAAAATTTAGCTCACCGAGCGATATGATATATTGCTTTCAATATATCTCTGATTTATCTTCTTTTTTTAAACTTTTGCGCAACAAACTTTCAAACGCTCCTTTCTCTCTTTGAGAAGAATCAATCGCGGAAAAACACGTTCGAACACACGAATTAATAGTATTTGTGACACGAATAGTATTTTTCGCGCGCGCGATGTTGCGTTAAAGCGTAAAAGCGGAGCCGTGCGCGGGATTCGTCCCTACATTTGTCAGACCGTGCAAGTAGTAAGACTCGACGTTACGTCCGTCGTAGAACGCGGCTCGCCGTCTACTGGCACTGGCGCGTTCGACGCCAGGCGTCGCGACGCGTACGACGCACCTCTCTGCTCCGAACTAATCAGCGGCGTACCTTTCTCTCCTCCTCCGAGCGACGCGACGTGGCGATTGACAGCGCGCGGCACGCGAAAAATTCGAATTCACATCTGACGCGGTATATACATCGACGCGCAAATCCCTCGTAAATGTATTGCATTCGAATCGCTGATAACGAGGAATGCCCGGAGCGGACGCTCCTATGCGAGAGAGAACCGTCATCATAGACAAATGATTCTCGTCAACCTGGTAGCTATGCCGGAAGGATCACATTAACGAGATGAGTGGCGTCGTATAGTGAGTGATTAATTGTGCGCTGTCAATGTATCTCATCCTCAGAAACGTATCCCTAGGGGTTTTTGCAATTTTTTATCGGTTATATGTATTGCTGTGCAGAGTCATTACTTCATACACATAATTTATATATATATATATATATATATATATATATATATATATATATATTATGGGCCGATTGTTTTATCTCTTGGTAAATTTTATCCGACAGGTAGCATATTTTTGTCTCTTTTTTTAGAACTTATCTGAAAAAAAAATGAAAATATGCTACACCTGTCAAGTAAAGCTTACCAAAAAGTTGGAAAAATCGGTTTTATATGTATGAAGTAATGAATACGCACAGCAATACATATAATCCTTAAAAAATTGAAAAAATCCTGAGGGATACGTTTCTGAGAATGAGATACATTGACAGTGCATAATCATTCATTATACGATGCACTCATCTATCATACATACATGTACATACGCAATGAATATATACTGTATATGCAACGAATATATGCACATACGAGTAAGCAATATAATCGACAAAATAAGAAAAACATATATATATACATATATTAGAAGATTTATTTTAATTTTAACAGGCAAATTTGAAAATCACGAGGTTTTAGAAAAATGCATCAGGCAAAAGTTGTAAAGTTTCGAAGGGGGATATATAATATCTAGAATTGTCCTTGTGGCGTTTTCGAATTTGTTTAAAGGTCAACCTAGTTTTTTAACATGGAACCACCCTATTTTTTACATCGATTCTATACTATTCGGTATAAAAAATTTTGAAGATAGAATAGTCAAAAACAAAATAGTTTACGAGATATTTAACATTTTTTATATACTTGTTTCTAAAATGTATACATATAGCTATTAGTTGCAAGTTACATACTTATTTTAGTATCTCACCCTAAATATCTTTTCCTATACTTTTTACAAAAAAAAAGTTTTGCATAAAAATTGTTTGACTAATAAGGGAATCAGAAGATAGCGAGACAATTTGTTTACGGATGCTGTCACTTTCGAGCAGTTTACTTTTTTAAAAATAAAACTGATTTTTTCCTAACAAAAGTTGTAGATCTCGTGGAGATAATCATATTTTTTCGTCAAGGATTCTCGATTTTTTTGCAAGTTATACAATTTTGAAAGGATTTGTATTTCCCGATGTTGTGAAGTGCGTACAAAACATATGCGAGATCTCTCTAGAAGCACTTTCCTGGATGTAAGAGTATATATTCTCTTTCAGCAGCTCTGAAATTATTTCCAGAATCTCCTTTTGATCATATCTATTATCTCTTACGATGGATAATCCATTTTGATCTTATTAAAGCGATTTAATATTATGCAATATTGTTGTCTTGCGTCTCTCTTAAAGTCAAAAAACTTTTACGCAAAATATTTTTAATAAAAAACATAGGAAAAAGATATTTAGGGTGGGACATTAAAATTATATACATACATAAATGTATTTATGTATGTTTGTATGTATGTGTGATATTAGGTAAAAAGATTAACGAATTTTAATATATTTATATTTATTTTTGCGTTATCGTATTATATAGAGATTTAATCTTATATTTGATATATATATGCAAGTTTTATAGGTACTTTATTTATTTTTAAATATTTCTGCCCTATTTAGGTCATCTGCTTAATAAATTTAATTTGCAGAAAATATTAATTATTTTTGACTGTATAAATCTCATTTTTTATTCAATTATTCAATTATTTTATTAAATTTTAAACTATATTTATATCTATGATAAAACAAATATATTAGATTTACGCATGATGAAGACGATCATAAATTATATCATATATTTTAATATTATGTATTGTCAAAGATGATTAATATTTTTATTATATTAATAAATATGTTAAATGTAATTTAAATAGATGAAGAAGCAAACATATAATATTATGTTAAGAAACACTTGCATGTATGCTAATAGAATTTTTTTATCTAAATCTCATTATTAAAGACTATTTCTAATAATTATTTCATAACAGAAATTTTAAGAGATAATGATAGGAAAAATTGAGATTTTGGTTCCTGAAGTTAATGTGCGTAAAGTTAAGGTCACATGTAGTGAATTGCGTGCTGAACAATAATATCACAGTTGAAGAATATCAGTAAATCGGCTTTTCGAGGTTTTTCGAACTCCCGTCTCTATTGATAGCAGAACAAATCTGTTTCCAGATACGTATTTATTGATCTGTGAATTGAGAACATCAAGTATAATTTTCCGGTTTTCTGAGTTTTCTATAAAAAAATCAATATAATGCTGTCATATACATACTATAAAAATTATGCATCCCATTTCTAAAAAAATTTCTTATTTGTTATTTTTATAAAAACGTAGTTATTTTTATATTTGTTCTGTCAGTTATATTTAATTTTTAAAATCAGAAAGAAATATTTTTATCGGCTCTCAATATTAAGAATATAAATATGTTTTTTTTTTTAAATCGGCTAACAGAGCCAAAGCACGAAAAATTAATTATTCGGAACTGTATCTCTTGGTTTGAGATCACTAAGTTCCATATATAAATTAATCTCGAAACTTACATATGGAGAAATAGGCGCGAAAAATATAGGTCCGAAAAGTCGCTGAAGCGATTACATTTTTCGCGCCTATTTCTCCATATGTAAGTTTCGAGATTAATTTATATATGGAACTTAGTGATCTCAAACCAAGAAATACAGTTCCGAATAATTAATTTTTCGTGCTTTGGCTCTGTTGGCCGATTTAAAAAAAAACCATCATATTTATATTTTTAATTTTTAATATAAAACATTTTTATGTTCAAATTTCTAAAAGTTTATAATATTTAAATATATGAAGAACACATATATATACGATAGAAAAATATTTATTAATAATAGTTTATTATATTAAATAAAGATACATTTTAATATTTCTATAATCATTATTTATATTACTATATAAATTTTAATTACCAAGTTAAAATCGATAAAACTAAAAATTATATATGTATAGTATAATGTTTAACGAATAGAAATGTAGCAATTTTATTGGGTGTAAAAAATTGTGTTCTTCTTTACATGCACTTTTATATGCTTCGATGTATAACCGTATTATTTTAATGAACTCTCCATTAAAACTAAAAATTATAAAAAGAAAAACCGTTCAATATCTTGATTATAATCAAAGTACATCGTGTAATCAAGTGTAGCAACCGTGTACTGCAGATTCGCATATGTATTTGTGCATTCAGCGTAAATAGGATGAAAGTAGGTAAAGCATAAAATTGGCTATACATTTGTAGCGTTGCACGCCATACACACAACATATTGATAAAGAATTTTATATCGATAAAGAATTCTATTTAAATACGATTTGTATGTATAATACGCTTAAAAACTTTTATTTCTATTTATGATCTATATATGGTAACAGATATCGAAAAGACTCAAAAATATAAATATTTCGGATGCTTTTTGCGAAAGGTCTATTACAAAAAGATATTAAAATATAAAAATTGCTAACTTAAAGTATTAACAAGAAAATATTTGCAATTTAACAATTTCTCTTTGAGTCAGAAATTTCTGATCCAATGGAGATTTGCTATGCTGTATACAATATGTATAAGTATCTATATTATATAATGTTTACGCAAACAGAATTACGAGATTGAAATGAACGATCAGTATATTAGTGCTTGGAGCGTATATTGAACTATTAATTAATAATTGAAATAACTTGAAACAATTTGTGAAACAAACAGGCAAAGAACATAAAGGATACATTATATAATATATTAGTTATTTTCTTATTTTTTACTAAACCAATACTTCTCTAATAAAACTAAATATTGTTTAAAGTTATTATTATGTAACTCATTACGAAAACGTCAATATTTGGGATATAATTTTAAAAATGTTAAGCTCAAGGAAAAATTATTTTTGAGGCTTAAAAAGGTGAGAATCTTTGACTACTTAGCTATAAATTATTATTTTTTGATATATAAGATTAAATTTAACATTCTTTTCCGAAATTATTAAGTACTATGACAATTTTAAAATTGTTTTGCTTCTTAATTTACAAAACTTCGTAAAATCTTTTAATCGAGCTGGTTTTTATTTTATCTTGAATCAAAATGCAATTCTAAAATAGATGAGCTAAGCATTGAAAGTTTCTAATAACTCGATGTTCTTTAAAACTTTGATGCCTTTTTTGGTTGAGTTATAATTACTAATGTGAAACGCTAATCCTTTCGTTGGATTTTTAATGACTTTAACATTTACATAAAACTTATTAAGAAAGTTATTCAGAAAATCGATGTGTGCATAAAGGGCGAGTGAAATTTTAATTAGACATTTGATAATTAGAATTTTCTACATACATATCGTGAACTATTTCCGTATGTTAATGATTTCATAAACGAACACAGTTTTCCGTTTTCTTCGGAAAATAAGCTACTATCTGTCTGACAATCATATACGAAACTTATGCGAAAACAAAGACGAAGACCGATAGAATATCATCAATCTTATCAGAGTTTCACGATTCTAGTTTGCATTAGCTTTTTGCAACTTAGGATTTGTTTCATAGCCCTTGATTTTTTAATATTATTGTAAGCATATCGAATATCTTAAAACTTGTAGAATCGAAAACGAATATTTTTATTCTACTGTAAAAAAACTATCAGATATGTATACTTTTTTAATTTTGAATTGAATATTTAT